GGACGACGTTAGCCAGGAGATCGTTGTGCCGTAACCTGTAGTCGACGTCCACCTTTTGATAGTTGACCGTCAGAGTGCCGGCGCGAATGCATCTCTCATATTCCTCGGCTGGATGGGCGCGGAATTCCCTCGCGAAGACCTCCAGGATCTTCTCGCCGACCCATCGACCTTTCGTGAATGTCGTGAAGGTGAAGTAATAGGGGTACACCTTACGGAGACCTGAAAGCACAAGAGCGCCGGGGGACGACGGTCAGGTGAGGGGGCGATAAGAGAGAACGATAATTACTTCGAGATCCCATAAGCCCGTCTTTAAATGTCACGAGGTTTAACGGGCTATATTAGCTACGTTGCGAAATGATTCGCGCGATTGCCGCGGGCGCTCGCCTGCAATTAATCGGAGATTAGCATCCAAGTTGACGCCGAGCGCGCTCCGAGGCGAACGGGCGATGTGAATTACGAGGACATAATGTTCTCGGAAGGAATCGGGATCACATAATAAATCACATTAGATCGTCGCGGATATGTAAAAATGTCGCTGTTATTTGCGAATCTATTATCGTCGTGCTGGTCTCCTGGATGGGTGATTGCTCTCGGGGGAGAGGAGGGAGGGAGGGGAGAGGAGGGGCGAAATTTACGTCAAGATTAACATAAGATCGATCGCGTCATTCTCTTTCGTATCTTTCGCCGACAAAAAGAAGACGAAAAGGGCATATTTAAATTTTCTGGAACATCCTGTTACTCGGCTAGCGGATTGACTTGAAAATTCATGCTTCAAAACACTTCTTGCGCGCACCGCGCGTTACTTCCAGATTTCGTTTTTCCTCTCCTCGCATTAAGTGGAAATTAATCCGTCGGTTCGAATCTTCGTTACGCGTCACCCTCAAATGAGATTTTCGCCCGGAGAGAAAAGCTAAGCGAACCGAGAAGTTGATTAATAAGCCCGGATAAGAGGAATAATTTTCTCAGCTTCCTCGCACGAGAAAGATCCCCCGGTGTGAGGTTAATGAAAGATATACAGCGCTTAATAAATTCACGCCCGCCATATCACTCTCGCTTGATTGAATACGTTGATATCTTTAAAAATTGTTCTCCTGTATGGATTTATATATTTCCCCATCCCCTTTGCGCGCGTATTCTTTCGTCTCGCGTTTTTCACAACCCTCCGTTCTCGAGTTAATTTTATTACTCTCCACGATAGTGAAACAGTTAAATCGAGTGGCGGAAACGGACGTAAACGTTCTATTTGCCGTTACCGGCTTAAGAGAGATACTCCTGAGAGTTTTACGACTGCGAAATGGCTTCCTTCACTGTCCATCGGTCACCTGGAGGGTAGCGCGCCAAGTTTCGAAATGTGCCTCGCTTGGACGAGTCCTTCGCTTTGGGACAATTCCGCGTCGAGCAATTTCCCTGTTGTTTTCCGGCTAGAAGAAAATAAATACCGAAGGGAGGCTTGATTAATGTCCCGTCGCGCGTCCAATCGCCATCAAAGGCGCCTTTTTTTCCCCGATGTTATATCACCAGAATACAGTTGTTTAAAAGATGGCTCGCCTATAGAGGATTAATGAACGTCTGACATTTGAAATGGGAAGAGCGCGTAATTATTCCACGTTTTACATCGACGTTAAGGTAATAAAAAAAAAAAAAAAAAAAAGAAGAAAAGATATTTTTACTCGGTCTCCATATACGTATTTTCCTTGATAAGAAATCGTTCTGGTGTTGGCGCAATTTTCAACTGTACATCCGAGGGGAAAAAAAAAGAGATTAATTTATTCCAGCTAGTCGAGCTCTTGCGGGAACGGAAATAACGGGAAGTGCGGGCATTTACACAAAGAAACTTTTCAAGTGGTCGACGAAGGAAAATTGGAGGCGGAGAACAAAAACGCATTCGCGTCAAAGAGACCGCATGCGGTTCTACTCCGCCAGGATGAGCTGGCAAGGGTTTGACCTTTGTGAGATCGAATCGGCGCGCGGAGAAGAGATCCTGAATAAATAGAAACAGTTCGTGGAAAAGGAAAACCCTCGTATTCTCGCCCGGCTGGAGTTACTTTAATTAAATTGCCTTCGGAACGTCGTCGACGGCACTCTTCGCCGGAAGTAAAGGGGTCGGAGGTCATTTGACAATCAAAATGTCTCGAAAGAGCCAGCCATGCTCTCAGAGCGTTCCGGCACGGACCCAGTGAACGATTGATCTCTCTCGAGCTTTCAGAAATAGAACCATCGGGACGCGGTCGTTTAGCCAAGAGCCACTCGAAAAGCGGAAGGAAATCGTCTTCGCGCATACGAGGGGAAAAAAGGAACAAATTCGAGAGAAAGAGAGAGGGGAAGAGTGATAAGAAAAGGGAAACGAGCGAGAAAAGAAAAAGAAGATTAGGCGGTCTGCTTATAGACCGTAAAGGAGAGAACTTCCCCTCGTCGTCGTCGCGCCAGAACATATATCATCTTCAGCGAAGAATTCACATTACGGGAACGTCAGAAATACACGTTGATATGAATTTATAATAAAAAAAATGTTACTAAATATTCTCATCGTATTTGGGATTTTTTCCTTTCTAATTGAACTCCATCTCCATTTTATCAGTAGGTTTAGAATGATTAACGTCCCATTCATTTTCATGATTCTCAGCTTAATTCTCGCAATCTTTGGTACCTTTCTCATTTTCCCAAAATATATGACTGACAGTAACTGGATTTTACTATAAGATCCAGTACGAAATATCTTCCTATAAAAATAGATACGACAAATAAAGTACTTCGTTTCTTCAAGAATTATCTCCAGAAACAGAATAGCTAATTCATTAGCTAGCAGTTTTATATTCCCTCTTTTTTCTTTTTTTTTTAGTCTGCAGCATTTTTACTAAAAATGTTGGACATATTTGATGCTGTAATATTTATATTTCTTGCAATCGCGTCATATATTAATTTAGTCCCGGTCGATATCCATAAAACGCAAAACAAATTCAATCCTCTACTGATTCCTAGCATTCTTGCAACAACAATTTTTCTGTTATCTCATAAGCTTTGTCAATGGACATGAAGATATATTTCATATGCACAACTCATTCTGATTTTAAATCCCAAGTCTCGTGTACTTGATCGTGTACTTGAGAAAATGTTACTTGTCGTCTACACTCTTTACGCAAATCACAAGTTGAGAAAGCATGCAAAATACTGAGAAAAATATATGTTTAATACATTTTATTACACATAATATTTATTAACAAAATGCAATACGAATTTTTACATTAATTAATAAAAATGTAAAAATGTAAAAAATAAAATGAATTTAAAGTGAAATAAATACAGATATAAACACGATGTAATATTTTAATGTGCAATTTGATATCTTATTAAAATTAAACTTAAAGTAGTATTCATTTTCAGATAAAGTTTAATAAAAAATAAAATCTTGCTTATAACTTTAACATGCGATGTTTTTATTTTAAAAAATATTTTACAAAGATAATATTGATTTCAACTTTTGATAATAATCTAATTTAAAATATTATTTGTCTATTAATATCCAATATCATCATATTAGATCAAGAAGTAAAAATGGAATTTCTGAAATGTTTTGCGCTATGTTGCAACAAATTAGCAACAAATTCTGATGCATTTGTTTTTTTTTTGATACGACACGCCTATATATTTTTTTTATTATATATAGGTTCAGCTTAATGGCAAGTTGTTTCCTTCCCAACTTTGAACTTTATTTCCTGCCAAACAATTGGAGTAACAAAATTCGGACTAGAGCAACAAATTAACACATAAATAGCACTAAATTTTTTTGAGAGAGATATGAAATCGATTCGCAATGGTAGGCGTTTCAGCTTAATAGAGGTAACAAAATTCGCGAATTAACAAGGTCGCGACATTATTGAAAAGTATCGTCTAATAATGACGCAACTGACCGTAAAACATCTTCTCTCGGTTCGTTTATTCCCAGACGATTGTGGATTCTATCGAATCGACTGTAATCACGGCTTAAAGTAATTACGACGCTATTACACACCAATGAGACACGACTGTCGTATTCATTGCAGCGGGCCCAGTAATTGCCCCCGATGTCGAGGTTGTTCCGAGATCCCCGACATCTCAGTCTAGGGTATCGCATACTTTCTTGTTTCCTTTGTTTCTCCCCGATATCGCCCGCAGTCCTCCCTCTTTTGCTCTGTAACATCATCCGAACCCCTCTCGGTTTCCCATCGATACTCTGTGCAAGGAAAATCCGTCCGGCACGCCCGCGGAATTTCGTCTCGGAAATCTTTTTCCTCGTCGACGACGAAGTATCCTCCTATGCCCCTTGTATGCTGCCATCGTAAGACGTACGGCAAGAGTTGATTTTCGAGAAACACTGAGCTGGAAAACTCAAAATGTCTGATGCAAGCAATTTGCGAAGAAAGCGCCTTTCAAGAGTTCTGTTATTAAAGAGCGCGACTAAAGCCACTACAATCGATGAGATTCGTTTGAGGACTGCTATTCAACATCATTTTAATAACGTTTCACTACATTATTTTATATTTCAGCCAATTTTACATCAGGTTTTTGATAAAATTAGTCATCAAAATACTAAAAAAAAATAAAACGTGTATGACAAATTAAGATGTATGATAAATTAAGATTGGTCAACTAAAAATCGAGCTAAAAATCAACATTTAAATTGCTTCCAGACTAAAGCACTTCAATTTTTAAATTATTATATCTTATATTTAATAATTAAAAAAATATATATAAATCGAATAATATATAATTATAAAGTAAAATTATTTTAATGTGATTATATTGTATCTATAATACTGAGTCTTTAAAAAATCAGTTAAATACAATTAAAATTTCCGAGAATAGCATTCTGCCTTACATTTGTCATGTTCTGCCCATTTAAAAAATATTTAAGTACTTTCCTTTAGGATTGAACTGGATTATGTATTTATTTAACTCCGAAAAAAAAAAACAATGAGTTTTATAAACTTTATAATATTTCGTATTAATTTGATTATAATTTGAATAATAAATTTCAAAATCAATAAAGATTAATTTATAATGAAATCATATATTTCTTAATTCTATATAAATTAAGAAAATTATTTTCTTAATTTACTATTCTTAGGTTAACTTTCAATTTTTTTTTTAATTTTAGAAAAATGGAAAAGGATCTCGCGTGATCAGAAATTATAGAGTAATTGGAATTTGATATTTTTTAAATCGATTCGTCGTCTACCTCT